AGGCTTTAGGAGCCATCTAGTTCAACCTGTACCTGACTTTGTACAGTATCCCCAAAGAATTGGTATATGTTTGGAGACCTCTACTGATAGGTAATCTATTGCTTTCTTGTACTCCAAAATTTTTCCTTAAGCAGATTCTAGAATCTGCCTGTGCAAATGTTTCCTGTTGCTTCTAGTTCTTTGCCTAAAGCTAAGGATCATAAGTCTGATCTTTCTTCCACGTGATAGTGATTCTACATGAAATATTTGAAGATATATCATGCCACATTCTAAGAACATTGATGAAGATACAGAGGGAGTAACTGTTAAGTGGTTAATGGACATTTTATATGATGAAATCCAATTTAAAGATGTAAATAGGTACAAAGTTTTAAAATAGTGGTTTCATCTATTAATTTCTAGTGATTAGAGTGAAAATTTTCTGTGGTTTCATTGGTGTGGGTTCTCTTTCTCACCATTGCAGATCGTAACCTTTCCACAAAAATTGCCATAGTCAGAAAATTCAAGACCATCATGGGCTCCCTCACCTTACCATAGCCTGAAAATCAATATGCTCAGTGCTCCCTAGGGACATCCAGGGTTCTGTCCAGTGGCCATGATCTTAGAGTAAGCTGCCTTAATTTGTAGATGTCAGCCTTTACTCAGTTTGGGCATTATAGGTGCTGGATTTGGAGTCAGAGGACCTGGGTTCAGATTCTAGTTCTGCCATTTACTAGTCCTTGTGACCTTACACAAATCACTTAACCTCCCACATGACAAGTGAAGGTGTTAGACTAGACAGACTGTGACATAGTGGATAGAAATCTGGCCTTGAAGCCAGGAAGACAACTGGGATCCCTTTGAACTCCAAACCTATGATCTTGTGATCAATCTAGTGATGCATCTCTCTGAATTTAGCAATATTGGTTCTCAGATGAATGGGTCACATAGCTTCAAATTAGACTACTTTTCCATCATTTTCACCCCTGTCGCAGTCTACGTAACCTGATCTGTCCTAGAATTCTCACTATGATATATACACTCAGATTCTTTAATCCACCGATTCTTTAAATACCTAATTATATTTCTACTCACCATAATCATCCTAGTTACCGCCAACAACCTATTCCAGCCGTTCGCAGGATGAGAAGGCGTAGGCATTATATCATTCATATTAATTGGATGATGATACGGCCGATCTGACGCTAACACAGCAGCCTGACAAGCAATCCTGTATAACCGTATCGGCGACATTGGTTTCATACTCACCATAGCATGACTAATAATCAACAATGGCTCATGAGACCTACAACATATCTTCATAACCAAAATAAACACTCTAGCCCTACTAGGACTAATTATCGCTGCAACAGGAAAATCAGCCCAATTCGGCTTACACCCCTGCCTACCCTCCGCCATAGAAGGACCTACACCAGTGTCAGCCCTCCTTCACTCAAGCACTATAGTTGTTGCAGGAATCTTCCTCCTAGTACGCTTTCATCCTACAATAAAAGACAATAACACAATCCTAATCATCATCCTATGCCTAGGAGCTATTACAACACTATTCGCCGCAATCTGCGCTACCACACAAAACGACATTAAAAAAATTGTAGCATTCTCCACATCCAGTCAACTAGGACTAATAATAATAACCATCAGACTTAACCAACCCTACCTAGCATTTCTCCACATCTGCATTCACGCCTTCTTCAAAGCCACACTATTCCTATGGTCTGGCTCAATCATCCACAATTTAAACAACGAACAAGACATCTGAAAAATAGGAGGACTACTAAACATTCTACCAATCACCTCATCAGCCCTTGTAACAAGCAGCCTAGCCCTCATAGGAACTCCCTTCTTAGCAGGCTTCTATTCTAAAGACCCTATTATTGAAACAATAAACATATCCTACACCAACTCATGAGCCCTAACAACTACCCTAACAGCCACATACAGCTTATGAATAATTTACTTTACACTACTAAACCAACCACGATTCACCCCTCTACCTACAATCAACGAAAAGCACCCGAATCTTAAGAATCTTTAAAAAATCTTAAAATCTTAAAAACCCTATCATACGCTTAACCTTAGGAAGCATCTTTGCTGGATACCTACTAGCAATAAACATCCCCTCTACCCACACAATCCCCATAACAATACCACCCATCCTAAAAATATCAACCCTTATCGTAACAATCACAGGACTATTAATTGCCATCGAACTAAATTCCTTAACCAACAAATCCCCAATACCACCTTTCATACACATGTACAACTTCTCAATCAGACTAGGATATTTCACACACTTATTCCACCGACTGTGTCCCCTAGCAAACCTACAAATAGGCCAACACATTGCCACCATACTAATCGACCTAAACGGATACAAAAAAACCGGACCCAAAAATCAAGCAAATATCCGCACCACTACATCCTCATACATTTCCTCTACCCAAAAAGGCCTAATCAAAATATACTTCCTATCATTTATCATTTCCATCCCCATAATAATAATCATAGCTATCTAACTACAGCCACGAACAACCTCCAAAACCACACAAATAGTAACAAATAGTAACAAATAAAATCCAACCTAAAAATACCAAAACTCACCCTCCACATCCATACAACAAAGAGACACCACTGCAATCTTGACCCACACAAAAACTACCAACAACATCAAACAACCCAACAGCAGCAACAATTTCAACTTCATCCAACATAAAATACCAAACCAACTTAAACAGCAAAGCAAACAACAACATACCCAAAGCCACTGCATTACCTACCCAACTCTCAGGATACTCTTCCATAGACAGAGCAGCCGTATAACCAAACACCACCAACATACCTCCAAGATAGACTAAAAACATAACTAAACCTAAAAAAATACTTCTGAAACTTACAATAATCGCACATCCCAAACCCCCACTAATCACCAAACTCAAACCACCATATACAGGAGAAGGCTTAGAAGCAAACGCTACAAAACCAATAACCAACAAAAAAGAAAACAAATAAACTATTATTATGCCCATCATTTCAGTATGGATTCTAACCATAACCTATGGCATGAAAAACCATCGTTGTCTTTCAGCTGCAAAAACTAATGACCAACCTACGTAAAGCACACCCACTCATAAAAATCATTAACAGAACCTTCATTGACCTCCCAACACCATCCAACATTTCTGCCTGATGAAACTTTGGATCCCTACTAGGAACATGCCTAACAATTCAAATCCTCATAGGCCTCTTCCTAGCCATACACTACACCCCTGACACCCTAACTGCCTTTTCATCCGTAGCCCATATTTGCCGAGACGTCAGCTACGGCTGACTTATCCGTAACCTCCATGCCAACGGAGCATCAGAGACAGGAGGACCTGTGTACAAATCTCTTGATCTCTTAGTGTTTTAGGCAGCTCTGTAAGACTATCTGTTGCCAAGAAGGCACTAGCCTGCATTGATAGGAGTTTTCGCACTTGGGAGTTCCTTATACTGGGTAAAATCACTGGTCCAGTCCCTATCTTTATCTCTAGATTAGATGACAACTAAGGTCCCTTCCAACTCCATATCTCTGATCCCTTAATCACATTTTTGGCTTACCTGGAATAAGCCTCTCTGAATTTAGCTAGATTGATGCTGAAATGATAGATATGAAGTCTATACCAAGGCCATATTCAAAACTAAAGTTTAGGCCTAGACTTTGAGAACTCAGGACCACCTCCATTCTAGTATAAGGCATTAAAGTCCACTAAGAGGACTTTAGTGGAATAGAGGCAATACAATTCTTTTTGTCGTTGTGGGTTTTTTTTTTTGCCTCTTCCAATCAATCAATATGCACTTAAGTATCTGCTTACGTGCCAGTCTTCTTAGATGCTGAAGATACAAAGACAAAAGTGAAAATAGTTCCTTCAAGGAATTTTACAGTCTAGCCAGGGAAACAATATGTACATATATAAGTATATACAAAAATGATGCAAGATGATTGGATCTAGGGTGTGGGGAAGCATTAGCAGCTTTGAGCATCAAGGAAAGATAGTGCTTAAACTGAGCCTTGAGGGAAATCAGGAATTTTGAGAGATGGGTGTGAGGTAGGTAAGGGGAATAGCCTTTTCAAAGACATGTAATTGTGACAGACTAGTTTAACTAGACCACAGTGTATGTAGAGAGGAACAGTATACAGTAAGACTGGAAGGTAGGTTGAGCACATGTTATGACGAGATTTAAATAACAGAGTTTATATTTGATCTTTAGGTAATAAGGAGTCACTGGAATTTATTAAGTAAGAGAGTAATAGGGTCAGATTATAGTAAAATCAGTTTGGCAGCTGTGGGAAGGATGGTTTGAGGAAATGAGAAACTTGACCCAGAGAGACCAATCGGGAAGCTACTGCAAGAGTCCAGGCTGAAGGTACTGGGGGCCTAAACTGAGCTGATAGCTATTTGGGTGTGGGGAAGGGAACAGATGCAAGGGGTAGAAACAAGATTTGGCAACTGAGTATATGAGAGTGAGGAGTCAAGGATGATATCAGTGTAACCATTTAGCAATGAGTGCTAGCACATGTTAGGATATATGGATGTAGTAAAACTTTATCATTATTATTATTATTTTCAGTGAGGACCTATGATTTGACGAGTGTAGGCACTCTGATAAGGTAACCCCTCTCCTAAAGCAGATCAACAGCTCTGTAGCTTACAGTCTTAGAAATGCTTGGGCCATTGAGATACATACTAGTTTGTCCAGTGGCACACAGCCCATGTATGTCAGTGAGGACTTGAATTTAGGTCTTCCTGACTCTGAGGCCATCTCTCTTAACTTCGAGGCCACTGTACCTCTCCACACCAACCATTTGTTTACAGTAACACATTAACCATGACCTAATAATAATTTAAACCATTATTCTTTAAATAACATGGCATGTAGTAGTAAAGTTGTTTCATTAAGGCACTTAGGCTGCTTGAAATTTTAGTCTGTAGTGCTATTGATGGTTGCCTTTTCTGTTATAGGAGAGAGTCAGAAAGGAGAAATCATTCATTAGCTCGTCATGCGGACATCCTTGCTGCTGTAGAAACAAGGCTCTCACTGTTGAATATGACTTTCATGAAGTATGTGGATTCCAATCTCTGTTGCTTCATTCCAGGAAAGGTAAAATAATGGCTTACCCTAGAACTGGGAGACTTAAGTACTGCCAAATGGTGGATCCTGTTTTTGTAAAACTGTTTTGACAAAATGCAGGATTTTGCCGTTTTCAACAGAAATTTCCTCTGGCACTCAACAAGTTTCTGTAAATTGGTTTGTTTGTATGCATGCACACACACACGTCACTATCTAAGTATATAATCTTTCAACTAACCAAAGGCTTAATGATGTCCCTAAATTTATCAATGTTTCTATCAATAGAACTTGTGTTATGTTTTTCATATTGTAGTAGAAGAAAAAGTGTTTCGGAAAGACACACTATAGAGTTCCAGACTTGGAGTTGTGGAGGGAAAAATGCTTTATTGAGACACATTCAAAACTAAGTCCAGCTGATATTTAACATAGAAATAGGCATACCATGTCCCTTTCATTAATATATTTTTAAAACGTCCCAGGAGTCAAAGTATCTTATGTATGCCTCAGGTGTCCCACTTAGATCAAATAAGATAATATTTATAAACCACTTAGTGTAGTGCCTCACACATAGTAGGAGTATATAGATGTTAGTTGTTGTTGTTATTATTATTATTATTATTATCATTATTATTACTTTGTGACTTTAAGTCTCCATGATCTAAAGTCAGGTAGATTTTAGAAAAAAGGAGAGGTTGTGAAGTTGAAGTTTATTTTGCCACTTATTGTAATTTTTGCAAAAAGCTTTAATAAGGAAAAAGGTTGAAGCTAGTAGTTGATGAGGTTTAGGAATTATATATATGTGAATTGTCTCTGCTACCATTTTTCTCTTATGATCCATGGATAAGTGACAATACAACTTGTTAAATTCCACTCAAACATTTACTTTCTGCATGACCCTGTGTGATTTGCCCAAAATCACACAGATAGTAAGTGCAAGGCAGCTACTTGAACCAGGACCTTTGATTTCAAATCCAGTGTTTATGCCATTTTATTATGGTATTCAGCAGTAAAACCTATGGCCTCAGGTGCCTATATACAAATGCACAAATCATACATAACAAAGTTAACTCTAGTAACTTAGGTAAATTTGACCTTATGCATATCCATTAAAATTGGTGGGATATGGGGCCAGCCCAGTGGCGCAGCAGATAGAGCTCCAGTCTTGGAGTCAGGAGGACCTGAGTTCACATCTGGCCTCAGACACTTGACACTTACTAGCTGTGTGACCCTGGGCAAGTCACTTAACCCTGATTGCCTCACCAAAAAAACAAAAAAAAAATTGGTGGGATGGGTTTGGATGGTAGGTGGGATACTGGAATACAGCTTTAGCAGGCTATATCTTATTCAAAAGAAATAGAATAAATAAAATGGAGGGACCAAAAAGTATTGTATAGTAAAAAGATATATATATGTATATATGTATGTATATATGTATATATTTAAATGAGAAAACCTGGAGTGGGGTAGAAATGGGAAGGAGAAGCATGGTGACACACATTTTGGTGAGCATTAATAGAGAAAGGAGAAAAAAAACACCAGGAAAAATGTATGATTGAAGCAACAACCAAATCAGTGCAAGAGATAAGCTCAACTGGATAATAGATATCCACTGTCTGAAAATTAGAGAATCGGATTCATTTTTTAAAAGGCACAAGAAAAATAATTAGGAAGATAACAGTACAACCAAATGCATTTTTGTGAGGCAACATTGAAAAAATGTATAAAAATGGAAAACAGCCTAAAAGACAATGAAACTTTATGGAAGGCAGCAAAGAGCAGAATAATTGTAAAAAAAGAAAACTCTGAAGATAATGCAAGTATATTGGAAGAATGACCTCATTTCACCGTAGCACAAAAAAAAATTTTAGAAAAAATATGTAAAGTCACAGATCAAATTTCAGAATTATCAGTACATCCTTAACACAGCAAAAAGGAAAATAAATCTGGCCATTGTATCTCAAGACATTTTCAAGTAATGTTTATTTCAAGCAATACATTTATTCCTTAAATAAATATATTTTAAGAAATTATTCAAGAAAACCTTCCAGAGCTACCAAGAACATGTAACATTCCAAAAAGAAAGAATTCACAGAAATCTTCCAAGGAGAAATTTAAAATTGAACTCACCCAGACATGTCATTGTCAGATGTCCCATAGATATTGTTAATTCAGCATGCCTAAAACTGAACTAATCTTCATCCCCACCCCCACCCTCACCCCATACCCTGACTTCTCTATTACTGTCTAGGGCACCACCACCATTCTTCAGTCAACCAGGCTTACAACTGAAGTGTCATCTGCAAGTCCTTACTCTCTCTCATCCCTCATATCCAAACTGTTGCCAAGTCATGTTCATTCTACTTTCAAAACCTCTCTTATATATGTCATTGCCTTTCTTTGGCTCTTGAAGTCCTCATAACCTTACCCCTTCCTACCTTTCCAGTATTCTTACGCTGTTTTCCACCATGCAGTTTACAATCCAGTGATATGGGCCTACTTGCTGTTCCTTCCATAAGACAGTGTATCTTGTAACTCTGCTGAAAAATTTTCACAGGCTCCCCATGCCTAGAATGTCTCCCTCTTCCCTCTAATGCTAATGCCTTTCCTTTGAAATTGCTCTAATTTACCCTGTATATATCATGTGTGTACATAGTTCTTTGCATGTTTTCTCCCCATTAGAATATGAACTATGTGATAGCAGAGATTTTTTTTTACTTTTTTTTTTTTGTATTCCCAGACCTGAACACAGGACATAAGACAGAGTAAGTGCTTAATAAATATTTATTGATTTGGACAAATAAAAAATCCTTAAAGTTGCAAAGAAGAAGAATTAAATTAATTATATACCACCAACTATTGTTCATTATCACCAGATTTGTCCTCTCTTTCAAAAATAGAAAAAGCTAGAGAAATTGGAACAAGACATAATTTATCAAAAAAGTTTGGTTACAGACACTGTTGTGAAATTAAGTTATGTTACTTCCTGCTAAATATAGCAAAAAATAGAAGATAAGTGAAATATAATATTTGTAATATTAAATGTAAACAGACTAAGTTTTACTATTAATGAAAAAAAGATTCAGGTATTTCATTTGAAATGCTATTCATGTAATAGCCAACTAAAAAATGACTGTAATGATGATATTCAGTAAATTCAAATCAAACTGCATTGAGAAATAGGAGTATTTAATATCTTAAAAAGGAACAATTATGAATGTTTTTCTATTTTAAATTTATATGTACAAAGTCAAATTCATAAAATACCTTACACATTTACAAGACACAAGAATAGAATATTAATCAATGTTAGTTAAGCAGTGTCAACACATAATTGGTTCTCCCCACACACAATGCTAGTGCCTTTCCCCTGAGGTTACCTCCCATATATATACCTTGTATGAACATAATTATATGCATGTTGCCTTCCATGACAATGTGATCTCTTTTGAGGGCAGAGGTTGTGTTTTTACCTTTCTTTAGATCCTCATGGTTTAGCACAGTGCCTGGAACATTGTAAGTGCTTAATAAATGCTTGTTGAATGGTGGAATTTGTTTTGCTCTACTGACTATGCATATTTGTAACAAGAGTTTTGTTTTTCTTTTTTTTTTTCATTGGAAGGGGAGGGGGAGAACATAGATTTTTGCTCATTGAAAAAATTTTAATTTAAAAAATAAATACTTGTTTCTCACTGACCTTTATCAAAATATAATCATCAAGCAAAAGGATAAACACAGGTTACAAAATTAAACAGATTAATGAATAAACTATACCATGCAAATACAGTGGAGATGTAATGAAAAAATCAGGAAAAATACCTTTTTCTCAAATAAACACAGGGGGATTATGGGAAGATATCAGTGTGACAGAATTCAGAGATTCCCTGATCCCATGAAAATACTCCATCAAGGCTTAAAGATACAGTAATCTAAGGGATGGAAAGAATTACCAATAGACTTCCTTGTCTAACCCAAGAATCTACAGAGAATACCACAAAGTCCAACAGAAAGATCCTGATATAGACACATTTGGGCAGATTGAGGACATAACACAGAGAGTGGAGCATAAGCAATCTCTGGAGCCTTTGAGGGAAGTCCCAGCATTCTTTGCTTACACTCTGTGGCACCAAAGCTCAACATAAGGCGTGCCCTCTGGCTGCTGGAGAGCAACTTTGAGGCATTCTGTGTGGGTCCAGCACATCACTGCCTGCCTGAAGCAAACAGCATCAGAGCCCAACATTCCCCAAGTCAGTGGCTGGTTATCTGAGCCCAGCTGTGGAGTGAGCAGCCTCTGGGCATTCTGGACAGGTCCAAGTGTAGCACTCCTGGACTGAGCCAAACAGATCTGAGGCTGGCCCAGTCACAGTAGCACCTAAACTCAGTCCTAGCCTAGCAAAGAGAACATTACAGTTAGGGCTTACTGTGGTACCAGTGGCCTGAACCTAGCTGTAAGAGAAAGAACATAGACAAAATACAGTCCTTGAAGCCTATGACTGGGACCTAACACAACAGTACTCCTTGATCCCCTATCATCTTGGGGAAGGACCAGCTTCCTGTATTGTATATAATAGGTAATATGATACAACAGGGAGAGTCCCAGAACCCTAATGACAAGAGAGAGCCCCCAGGCAGAACTCAACACCAGAATAGCCTTGGAACCCCTTGAAGGAAGGATCTAATCTAGCCCATTATAATTAGCATGAGGCAGGCCCTACCCACCCCACTCAGTTTCAGAACTTGACCCAACATTGGCATTATGGCCACAGGAACTGTTGGAGTTGCTGGAGGAAATTAAACAAGAGAGAAAGAATGGGAAAACTAGGGAGTAAAGAATGGCAAGGAAAATTGATATTTTAGAACAGATGATGGAACACCTCACTAAAGAAATGAATGTCCTTAGTAGAAGTAGAATGGACCAGACAGAAAATATTGACTCAATAAAACAAGAAGAAATATAAGACAGAATCAGGAAATAGAAGAAAATATGCATCAGTCTTCACTCTGAGTCCGTCATTTCTCTTTCTGGAAATGGA